CATTAATGGAAACAAAACCGTCCAGCAGCTTGGTCAAGTTCACGCACGCGTGTGTGTCATCCTTCTCTTCATAACTCTGCTCAGCACTTCCACAGCGCGACGGAGCAGTTCCTCTTCCTTCCTTGGCTGCTGCTTACTTCATCCTTGACTGGGCATCCACATGGAGGTAGCCGTTGCAACAGCCAAGTGACTCACACAGCAGCAATGTGGGTGGGACCAGTTTCCATGCCTGGCTCCTGAGGACACAGCCTTTTATGGTATTTTTAGAGTGGAAGCTCTTGTGGTTTGTAGCACTTTGCTTTTTGTCTTACACAAGCCTTAGAGACAACAGATCGTACTCTTCAAGGCTGCGGTGCGGCCAGCGAAGAGGCCAGGCAGGTACGAGAAAGCGAACGACCGCCTCGTCTCCACTCCCTCGCCCGCAGGAGCCCGCTGCTCGGAGCTGCTGCCGCCCAGCCGCGCTGGAGCCGCGTGAGGCCGAGGCCCCGGCCCCAGCAGAGGCTGCTCTGGGGATGTCACGTGCTCAGCGTGGCAGCCGCAAGGCTCAAGTCCCGTCGAGCCGTCACCCTCTAAGGTAGTTAAAGTGTCCACAGACTAATAGAGCCCAGTTTTCTAAGGATTTATTCTCTTTGTCCCCTGAATTTTCCCTTCTACATCTCCAGTAGCAAGTGAGCGGGCAAGAGGAAACCCGTATTGCTCCTGCTGTGCGGGGGATGCCGAGCACAGGAGAACCAGCAGCCGCCAAAGCCTGTGGCGGCCAAGTCCCGCCTGCCTTCCCCTCCGTGAGGACTCTAACATAGGATTGCATCTCCCATTTCTTAGCCATCAAGAAGGAGATTAACTCTTCAGATTTTTACCCCATCAAATTTAGGTGAAACAGGTCAATAGTTAAGTAGTTATTAGGGGAAAAAATCAGCAGGGGCATTGCACCAAAAACCAGGCTAAGAGCACCCCAAAGACCTTTCCCAGAGGAGAAGAGCAGCGGCAGAAATGCCACTTTCCAGGCTTGCAGTCCACAGCACACAGGACTCAACCGCAGCGCACTAACGGAGCCACGGGTCTGCCTGCTCGGCTGTGCCCTTTCGAAGTTGACTGCCACACTGGCGATTAAAAGAGCATCCCCAAACATTGCCCCACATGGTTTACAACAGGATTGTGGCTGTAGAGTAGCTTATGTTACAGGACAGCTCTCCGCTCTGCTTTCCACTGGAAGCATTATCTGTTTCAGAAGAGAAGGACACGAAAGTTTCTGCCTCTTCATGCATATCCAACCACAGCTCCAGCTGGCAGCTGATTTTAGTCCTTTTTAAAGCTGCTAAATGCCAGAGGAAATTAAATTATAAACTGCAAATGCGTAAAATCTCTAGAAGAAACCCTATCAAAACCAAGGAAAAAGTAGTAAGCAATCCTGATGCAAAACACTAACATTAAAGGTTTGGGTCCCCCCCCCCTTGTCAATCCCAGGGAGCTCTGGAAGTAGTCGGCTTACCAGGCAGAACGGCTGAAAGACGGACCGTCCCTACGGACCGCCCTGGCACAGACTGCACCACTGGACTCTGCAAAGTCAGAAGAGGCAGCAGCAAGCTGCTCTGGCGCCAGCTTGCAGAGACAGCAGACAGCGCTGAGGGGAAGCCGGGGGAGGTCTGCTTTAGTAAGCACTGCACAGCCAGCTACACGCCTCGGAGGCCAGCCAGAAAGACGGAGTCGCTCAACAACGGCCGACCACGCGACGAAACCCTCCAACCCTACTGCAAGGTAAGGGTGCCCTGATGGCGATCCGGCACATCGCCGTTAGCGCCTGCTAAGCACAGCGATCCCCAGCGATGCCCCGCGCAAGGCTGCCGGAGGCGGCGTGCTTTTCCCACGCGTGCAACTTGCCGCCGCTCCCCTGAACAACTCCGAACGAGAGAGAATTTCTTCCTCCTGCTGCTCAAGTCTGCAAAGCATCTTTTAAACTCGCACGTGGCTGGCGTACGCTGCCCTTCTTAACGCTTCACGCTAGGGGGGATTTCTCCACGTGTAATCTCAAGCGAGCCATCTCACAGCTGCTGCTTTTAACCCTTTCGAGGGGACGTGGAGAACTCCCCAGGCAGATGAAGATGAAATCTTTTTCTCTCCAAGCAAATATAATGCATTTCCAAGTTTAGACAGTCAGCTTGCTGTTAGATAATGGATTAAGATTACACAATTAAAGTTCAGCAAATAATCACGTGAAAGGCTCCATCCTGTGCAAAGGAACACAGCATATTTCCTGCAGTCTTCAGGAGCTACACAAAAAAACCCCCAAACCTTGCCATAAGGACAACAACATCATGCCCAACTACTATCCTCTCTTATAAGTCCTGCAGAACCAGATTTGTCATAGGAAAGCAAAGTGAACTCTGTCTTCCCTTATTTCTCATGAAATTATGGAGCTACAGACTGATTACAGACTCTTCAAGCAACAGCTGTGTAAGAGGCAGCACAAGCTCCTCAATTTTCATTACCCTTTACTTTGATCAGCACTGTCAAATTTGATCAGGAAAAAAGAAATCAGGAGGAAAAAAGGCACGCAGAAGAGCGCTGAACAACAAAAGTAACACATTGAAAGCTCCTACTTACAGGAAACGGACACGTCCAAGAGTGAACTCGGGGGCTCACATCTCCCTTCGTAGCCCCATGAAGGGCAGGGACCAAAGGAATTTGCCCCCTATACGCTTAACACCGTGAGGTCTGCTTGCTGCAGGCAACTTGGTGATGCTCTAACCCTAGCGTGCTGAGGGACCGCGCTGGCCCGGTCCCGTGAGACAAGCGCTACATGGTTCTTCTGCCCACTACAGCCTCCAGCTGCGCAATAACACACCTGCGTTTAAAATCACCTCGATACATTGGCCCACAAACAAGAAAGCTTCTTCAGGCAGCAGATTTCTTTGCAAGCCTAAAGCACCAGACACTGGCTCCTAGGGAGCAGGAAGTCCCATTAATGCAGAAGTGGGGCTGTGACTGGGGAACCAGTGCAGCCGGCCTTTCAATGCACCTGCACTTTGCAGCTGTTCGCGTCTCAGAAGCGGCAAATTCAGACAGTCCCGTCTTGTGTTTAGAGCCATCTCCTCCCCAGGCGTATACTCTGGTGCCTAATAAGGGCCGAGTTCCCTAACAGAGTCAAGTCTCGCCACATATTTTAAAGTTCCTCTCCCGCAGGATACGCAGTCTTGCGGCGAAGGAGAGAGTCGCAGACGCTAATTCACCAATGTAGCAAAAAACTTTTCCTGCTTTTTTGCTCGGTTTATTTTCCTCTTGTTCAACAAGCATCTCTAAAGCTGCAATCAAGAACTGGACCAAGGTAAGTTACAGATGCAAAGAGGAAAGGAAGACACAACCCTTCAGCAGCCCAAATCTATTAAACGTATACACCCCGTCTCATGAAACGATGCCTTTACTGCCTCAGGTGCCCAAATTTCATAGCGAGTGACAGTGCATTCAAGACATGTTAGGTAAGGAAGGAGGGAGACACAGATGATCCTGAGCCTTTTTCTGGGAAGGAAACTGCTCTGCCAACTCTGAAAACCTATGCAAGAAAAAACAAAAAAAAACCTGACACACAAGAAATCATCTCCTTCCCAGCATCTACAAACAGTGCATTTTCCACAGCAGAACCAAAATTGTTTAAAAAGACAGATAAGAGCCTTCCAGCAGAAGATACAGACGGCATACAGAGGCAGCAAGCCCCTACCATGCAACACAAAATCCTTTAAGATGAAAGGGAAGTTCATCATAATCTTGGGAAGAGGAGGGAGCAGGAGAACACGATGTAGGTGATGCTTAAAATGAGCTGCCTGTCATCCCACAGGGAGGCAAAAAAGCACAGAGAAATATCCCGCTGCACGCGGACATCGCGAGCTATTACCTTCGTTGTTCCTTTATAGGGTTGCAGCCTTCCACTAACGAGGCAGCTTGCTTTTGGCATGACGACAGCCTCCTCACCCAAGCGCCAGGGGAAAGCGGCTCTAGTGCCGGAAGTAATGGCCTCTGTAATTAATTACTAAATACTGTGTGTGCACACACAGAGGGCTGCCAACAGACGGATTACAGCGGCCACGGCAAGTACAGATGGTTTTTTTTTTTTTTTTTTTTTTTGAAGTGTTAGTTCACTGCTCGTCCTGCCAAGGAAGAATTTATCCTGCCTGTTGCTGAATGTGCCCAGCGCAGACTCACCGAGTTCAAACGCTTCAACGGAGCTGCTTAACTGGAACTGGTCTGTAATTATACACTCAACCACGCAGGCTCCCTCTGACAATTAATTTCCCCCCCCTCCATGCAGTTCAATACAGCACGGAGAAACGAAGCATGAATCAACCCTTTTGGCAGTGTGCGTCCCACCACGCTGGACACATTAAGGTGGGACATGTCACTGCACCGGCACACAGGAGACCACCCTCCCCACAGTCCCGTTTACCCAGCAGCAGCCAATGCCGTCACTAGGCAAAGGCTGGAAGCACATTTTAGGCTCAAAAGTCAGCTGAAACGGGTCCAGTCTCTCCTCCCACTCCATAAATACAATCCAAACGGGGTCATCTCCCAACAATAAATGAATGACATTCATTCGAGCCCGTGAAGCTGCGCTGACACAATCTGCGCCCTTTCATTCTCCTTGTACTGCCAGTGCTAAAGATGCTTTTGTACATCCTCTGACGTACTCCATTTAAAAACCTTGGCAACCAGGGCATTGCATTCAGCTGCTTTTGAAAAAACTCATTCCTTTTCTCTCAATAGGCTTTTAAAAGACTTTGGGGGTGGGGGGGAGGAGGGAGAATCACTCTTCAGAAACTTAGCACAATCACAGAAAAATTCAAACTTGGTTCAACCGTGACAACCGTGTATTTGGGCACCACTCACAAAGCACTAGAGACTGGGCAAACACCAGGCGAGCCTGGCCCCTCTGGCTACCGGGCGTCACCCTGGCACCTACAGGGTGAAAAATGCCAATACCACCATGGGACATGGAGACAGAGAGCTCTTACCTGAGTCCTGAAATTAAGGAACACCCAAACGCCCCATTTGAAGTCACAGAGTTTGACAACCCAACTGCAGCACCGGATAGGTAAAACATCTGATTTGCTTTGAAAACTCTTCAGTGCTCTTACAGAAACTCTCTGCTTCTTTTCAGGTTATTACAAGATTGTTCAGTTCCACTGTTTTAGTGCAAGAAGCAGTGAAGCAACGAAGCAGCAAGTTCTTCTGGGACCTTTACAAGGCAGTAGATGTTTAAGGGGTTTTGGTGGGGCTTTCCTTGCTCATTTTTTGCACCCCAGAACTTCTGAAATTTTTCCGTGCAGCAGAGTTTGGAAGTCTGTCTGCTGCACCTGTGTCCTCGTTCTTTCTGAAATGGAAACATTAACACATGTGGGCACAGAGATCGGATGGAAAGAACAGAGAGGCTCCCACTTAGGGGAGTATTCCCCCTCTAGTCATATTTGGAAAAACTAAGGCGTTTAAGAAGTAAAAAAAAAAAGGGGGGGGGGGATGTCTGTCTGAGATAGAAGGCCCATTATTTGTTTGTTTTTTTAAAAAAAAAAACCCAAACATTGGTAGCTCAGCTTTCAAACAAACAATCTTATGCACGGTTAGCAGAAAGTCAAAGAACTTAAACATCACCTAATGGTTGTACCACCCCTTATATGTAATTTTAAGAGACTAATTTCTTTCCAAAACCCACCACATGCTGGTTTGGAGCCACGTTCCAAGATTTAAGCTTTTACAAATAGAAGCCTTTAACCTCAGCGACTGCAAAAATTTCCTGCAAAAAATAGTGCAGCACAGAAAGCTTAAACCAAGTCCTAGCCTATTAAGTAGACTACTGCACAAACGATGCACAAAAAGATGCTTTGTGCCTGCCTGTATGAAAGTGCACCAGATTCAACAGGGTAACGTGGCGCTGGCGCCGAGGACTTGAGGCATATTTCCATTTGAACAAGGCATGCTTTGATTCATTTCAAAGTCGTCAGGAGTCTGCTTATGCCAGCTCTCAATACGCTGTTGCCAAAAGCACATCTGTGACAGCATTTCTGTCAGTTTGGCAGAGATGCGAGTTTGTAAGACAGGTAGTATAATCACCTCAATTTAAAGAAGATATTCTTAAAGGGGGAAACCAAGGCACAAAACGGTTAGCTGATTCTTCACGCAGCCCGATGAAATGTGAGTCTATCTGCATCCCAGGCAACAGATAAACTATGCCGGAACCTCTCCCATGAAGAAAGGCTGCAAGAGCTGGGCCTGTTGAGCCTGGAGAAAAGAAGATTGAGAGGGGATCTCATCAATGTGTGCAAGTACCTGAAGGGGGAGTGTCAAGAGGATGAGGCCGGCCTCTTCTCCGTGGTGCCCAGCAACAGGACAAGAGGCAATGGGCAGAAACTGAACCACAGGAAGTTCCACCTGAACCTGAGAAAAAACTTCTTCCCTGTGAGGGTGACAGAGCATTGGAACAGGTTGCCCAGAGAGGTGGTGGAGTCTCCTTCCTTGGAGATAGTCACAACCCGTCTGGATGCGATCCTGGGAAATACGCTCTAGAGGAGCCTGCTGGAGCAGGGAGGTTGGACTAGATGATCTCCAGAGGTCCCTGCCAACCTAAACGATTCTGTGATTCTGTGAAAGGTCACTGCATCAATCTGTGTTCCAAAACACACGGTGGCTACGCGTGCTCCTATACGTCTGTGCCGCTGCAGTCGAATATCCACAATGACAACTGTTTACTGGTGCGAGTCAAGGGCATTGCCTGGGTTTCCTGTGGGAATACTGGATGTGAGGTTATAGTCGGCCCAAAATTTCCATTATATCACTGCTCCATCCCACTTTTGTTCAAGCATTAAAGCAAGGCATAGCTCAGATGGAGCAGATAAGAGCCAAGCGTTTGAATTCTTTGTACTTGACCAGGGCAACTTCTCCGATTCTGGGTTTTTCCACTTAAAAGGAAATATATTTATTCTGGCTAACGATGTCATCACTCTTAAGATTGTTGTGGAAAGATAAGTAAGAGGGGTGAACCAAGGACAAGCCGATAAGTTAACTTTGAAATTGCTGGCTTCTCTCTGCTCCTGCCACCATCTACAGTGTTACTTTTAAGCAGGAGGAAAACAGGAGAAAGCTTGAAAAGGAAAACAAGAAAACAATTTGGGGAAATTCTCGCAGGCTACAGTCAGCTCCGCAACAGCCTGTCAGAGTAACTATGATTACTTTTGTAAAAGTTTTGTTTATACAAAGTGGAGCTGCGCTCTCTGAAGTGCAAAAGCAGACACAAATTCAAGTAAAATACCACAGTGACTCCTCAGTATTAATCATAGAGCCTAAGATAACATCACTGATCACAAAGCATTTGGGGTAGGTTAGTCAACTATCGTCAGAGAACAACGTCTCTTCAAAATAGGTGTTCACCGTTCATTATACTGAGCGACGGAAGATGATGCACGTTTGGAGATAACGTATCCCGTTTCACAGGCTCGTACAGTCTGACAGAAGCATAAGCTTAGTTCATGCTGGATTAATCCAGCTAAACCAGGTACCAGCACCCTTCCTCGCAATCTTGTGAGAAAGGCAAAGAGGTTTAGAGGCTGAATTACTGGTGCTCTTACTTCTAAATGTATGGGAATAACATTACAAAGGCTCTTATACATCTTCATAAAAGCATATCCGGTATTTTGCTCCACTCTTGCAGTCTAAAATAAGCAGCAACAAAATGCTTTCCTTCCCATGTACCTTACGGGAGAAAAAACAGAAAAAGCTACCCACCCTGACATCAGTTTGGCAGATCTCCGTTATGACTCTGAAGGCAGAAATTTATTAGGGCAATGTCCAACTCGCTGCCTGCCAGTAGTTGGCAAAGTTGACCATCATAAAAACCGCAGAGATGCGCTGAGAATTAACGCACGGGGGCGTGACGGGAAGGCGCGCGTTCCCAATGCTTTCTCTTTGCCACCTCCCCGGGAACGAGCGAGGCGGCTCCTTCTCCGCCTCCCCCCATCTCCACTGTGCACAAGGAAACCAGGAAGAGTTTGCTCATTGCTCACAGTCAAGTTTGCGAATGCTTCAGCAGCTGCCTCCTCCTTCAAGCAAGCTGCCCAAAAGCTTACCCAAACCTGGGCCCCCTGCCACAATATCTGGCTGCCCTAACTAATGAGATAGTCTGTTTGTAAACACAGGCTTTGACAGACACTCTGGCAAGCGGATATATAATACGCTCAGCACAACTGCAGATGCTAACAGTTCCCAACCTGCACCAAGGCTTCCCGCCCCCCCCGCCCTAACAAGAGGCTCTGCCTCCAGCCAAAACACAAACGGCTCTGAGGAGCTACAGGTATACCCACAGCTCTCGTTTCCTTTTTCCTCATCAAACTCATCTCTTTTTTAACCATATCCTCAGAGTTGGCTCAGAACGTCCCAGGGAGCAGAGTCAGGTCCAAGATCATGAGACAAATTTGTGCCTTGTGGGACCGCCGAGCTCCTTGCAGAGCAGCCCTGGTTTCAGGGCTGCAAAGAGGCGTACTCAGCAGGCTCTTCTCCGACAGGAAGGTAGGAGATGAGGAGAAAGCCCTTCAACAACATTTGAGTATGCTTTGCCAAGTCACATCTTTCTCACGATAAAAAGGGCACATGGCCACATCAACAGCCCTGCAGAAGGCGAGCTCACCACCATGCTGTTTGGAGCACTAATGCCTGCTTGCCCGCTGGTTAGCCACCTTGTTTAACGCGTAACGTCTGTCATCTTTGGTCCGTTCTCTCCTTCTCCCTCCAGAAGGGGGGCATGCCCATAGCACAGCACAACCTGACCAGCAAATTTCTGGTTCTGTGTTGCTTCATGGTTCTTCAAGAACGTGAAAGACCAAAGAAAGCTGCTTGAAATTAAGGCTCACACTTGGATTCCCGCAAGTTTTGGTGCTGCTTCTAACAGAGCCAACTGGTACCTCAGACTCCGGAGAGCAGCCGTTCTGGACCAGAACTAAGGGCCATTCAACTCGTTGTTCCCCTCCCTCCAGCAGCGACCAGCACATCGTGGCACTTCCCACAACCATGCACGCAGCCCGCAGTGATTTGTGGTTCGGGAGGTCTTACTCATGGCAACTGCTGTTTGCAAGGAGTCACGCCACAACATCCTGCCTCAGCTAGGGCCTTTTCAGAATTAAGGACTTCACACCCAAAAACGCCGCATCGCTGAATCCAGATGGCAGGGAAGGAAGACGTGGATACTGGAGGATGAATCATAGCAAGCCAGAATGGAAAGCGATTTGCTGGCCAAGAGGACAAGACAGAACACGTTACTAACCTCTAGTCCTATGCAAGACCTCTCAGCTGCTCCTGGATGCCCCACCAGCACTACATCGCTCAACAAGCTGCTCAATAGTGGCTACGCATCTTTTGCCAGAAGCTTGCTGTCCCACGTCTGAAAGATCACCGAACCTGCCACAAAAATAGAGCATTTGCAAGAATAAGAGAAGAAAGCATTGTATTACTGCAGAACTTGCCTCTTAACTGGCGAAATGTAACTCTGCAAGTGTAGCTCTTTAGCTGCTGTTAGTCAGACCCCAAAGAACAGGTAACAGCAGTCTGGTTTTCCTGCTGGTGTTGCTGAAGTCTTTTAAGTCACGTTCTGGTCTCAGGTAAAGAACGAATCCTGCACTGAGTACAAACTTCACAGGAAGCTCAGTGATAACATACCAGTGTAGCTTTTTCACTGCCATCTACATTTTTCCTTAACTGGAACAAAAAAACCCACAATTCTTTGACATGGGTTGTAAATACAGATTTGGCTGCTGTACGGACAGATCACTGCTGCTCTCCTGTTGAGAGATGTCACAAGCAGCCCTGTATAGCGCTAACAGAGCGCTCCCCCCGCCAACACCTGCATCCCTCAGTGACAGCTCAAAGACTCAAAACTATTTGTCGCCCTTTTCTAACGGTTGGCCGCAGTCATGCCGCTTCACGCGGCGAAGTGGTGCAGGTGTGCAGGCAGGCTTTCTTTGACGGTTACCACAGTCCCACCTAGCCATCAGCCCTCAGCCAGGCAGGCAGCTATTTCCTCTACTTGGAAAGGAGACAAGACACACAGGAAAGGTTTCGCCAAAACCAGTCACTCAGACAGTTCCTTCTCTGATGCTACTGATGCGTCTCAAAACCTTTCAACATCAAACAGCACAGAGAAAATACAAGGCTTGGCACAAAAACAGAAATCCGTAGGCTTAAGTTCTAGCCCACTCTATTAATCAGTAACCTCGAGCAAGATCTCTCATCGTTCACAAGAACAGGCACAGCTTTCCCTTGGCCTCTGAAGTCAATATACTAAATAGTACCTCTCTAC